AACCGCTATCCCCTCTGCTTCTCCGAACAACCAGGGTCTGAGTGTGCATGTGGCAGTGCCCCTCAGAAGGGCAAACACTGCGCGGAGAGGTGGTGCAGTCAGCTAGAAATGGCGCTGGAAGCGCTTTGGGAGTGAGCAGGGAAGCAGTGGTGCCCAGCTAACGTGTGAGGAGAAGCCCTGGCCTGGCCGTGTGATGGGTGTGATGTCTCTCTCCCCCCCCCAGATCCGTGGCAAAGGGCTTGACTGGCCCCTGGTCGTGAAGGACTTCAACCTGCTGCGCTGGCTCGGGGCGAACTCTTTCCGCACAAGCCACTACCCCTATGCTGAGGAGATCATGGACCTGTGCGATGCCTACGGCATCGTTGTGATCGACGAGTGCCCGGGAGTGGGGATTAAAATGCCGTAAGCAATCGCTCAAAGGACCCTTCCCCTTCTTTCTATGTTCATCCCTGCCACAGCGTCCCCCTCCCGTCCCGCAGCACCCATTGTCCTGATAATGGAAGTACTTTGCTCTATTTAGAAATCAGCCACGTGTGCCTAGTGAGGTTGGGCAACCGGAGGGCGTTTTGCCACATGGCCATCGCGTCATTTGGTCGATTAACGAGCCCAAACCACAGCCCTGAACTGTGCAGCAGGCTTTGGGGAAATAGGGCAGAAGCCATATTCAGTGGCAAGGCTCAGTTGTGCTTATACACCCCAGAGGCTTGAGTTTTCACAGGGAAAGGCAAAGGGGATGGATTTTTATACCCTCACCTCACTGGTCTTTTGTCCTTTTGTCTTTAAGCGAGAGCTTTGGGAACAAGTCCTTGCAGCATCATCTTCTTGTGATGGAGGAGCTGATCCGCAGGGATAAGAACAGGCCGTCAGTCGTGATGTGGTCAGTAGCCAATGAGCCAGCATCGGAGCTGCCCCCAGCAGCTTACTACTTTAAGTAAGTGCATCTGCTTGCACACAGAGCTGAGGCTTGAATCTTGACAGATGATGCATCTTCTTCCTTTGGGATGGCACAGGCAGAGTAAAGAGAGGGCAAGCATTTTTTTGGGAACCCTGAAACAATACCCGCAGATGCAAACTAAAAGACTAGCTGCTGTATGTGTTGAACTGATGCTCAGAACCACGTAACAGTCTCAATCTGTTGTTTCTGAACCAGTAAGGCTCTGCAAAATTACCAGGAGTCCATTTGGTCTGAACATCTCTTGTTGACCTAAGGGTCAAGCAAAAGCAGACCTGATGGGAACAGGACATTCCTTGTTACCAATGGAAGACGAGTGCTAAATTCTTTGAGAATTACAGCAAAGCTGTAAAATAATTAGCTTTTAATTCTGAAGACAAGCTTCTTCAGTTAGTGCTAGTTCTTTGTTCTGCAGGGGATTGTGACGCCCCACTTCAAAGCCACTGCTTCAAGTCCCTACAGACCCCTTGGTTTTATTTTTAAAGAGATTTAAGCTTTGGATAGCCAAGAGTTGTCTCTGTAATGGGGTAGCAGACTGTCCCTAGTAGCTGTAAGCGCATTAAGAGGTAACTGTGCATTTTAATTCCTCAGAATGATCCACAACCTTCCTGCAATGTTGAGGTAGCAGCAGAACTTGACCCTCCCATTCTCTGTCTCATCTCCCTCATTCAGGGTTTCCTCAAAAGCAGCCAACCTTCGACTGCTCTGCCTGCTGTGGCGTAGTGCTAGGGCCTCGTGCTTTTGCAGGAACGCATCCCAAGTGTTGTTCAGAAACGCTCTGCTCCCCTTCTCACATTTTCATCTTCAAAGTCACTGTCCCGTCTCCAGCTTCCAAGCTGCTGGCACCAACAGACAAATTAACATGCTGGTGTTTGCTATACTTTCACTGTGGTCTTTTTTCAGGTGGGATAGCAACCAACTTTGTGACAGATAAAGGTCTCTTTGCCATGATATTTATAATCTTGCAGAGCTGGCTAGAATTGCAGGCACTTTATAGCAGATGATCACTAAGTATCCTGCAGTATTTAATTAAAAATACTCTGCCTGCTAAATCAAAAGCAGCTCCAAGTGTCTGAGGGGGGGTGTGAAAGGACAGAGAGCATGGGGAAATGGGTCTGTGCTTCTCCATGCTGTTGTTGAACTCTTGCTTTACTGTTTGCAAACAGGACAGTGATAGCTCACACTAAAGCTCTCGATCCCTCCAGACCAGTAACCTTTGTGACAGATGCTAATTACGCTCTTGATCGTGGTGTAAGTTTACTTTATTTTCTAGCTTTTTTTTTTTTTTTTAAATTCATACATTAAATTTCCTCTTCTTGTTTTACAGTCCTTTCCCCCCACCTCCCCAAGTTTACTGGAGATAGTTAACAGGGAGAGGCAGAAGAAAACTTACATTTTTCTTTCTAGTACAAAGCACCTTATCCTGTGGTTGTAGTCCAACTGAAAAAAAAAAATATCTGTAAGAGAGAAGAACAGTTCCTTGTCTTGAGTGAAGTATGCAGGATCAGACCCCTGGATTCCATTAACATTGTCATGCTTTGCTATTCCATTGATTGCGTTTACTAATGCTCAGGATTTTCACTTGCAATTAAACCAAAGCTTAAACCTCTTTAAAATGCTAACAGCCCCTGTGGAAGTCTCAAGGAAGGAAGCTTTGCTTTAATTCCTGCTTTAAACTGCTCTAGATCTTCTTTGGCAGATGTCTGTTAATGTTGAATAATCTAAAAGCTCTTCCAGCTTTGTAATTAAAGTCCTAGAGCTGTATAAATAGCCAAAAGGCACTTTTCTTGATGTCTGTGCCTTAAGCTGGCCATAGCATGAACCAAGGATCTTTAACACACATAAATTTGTTTCCAGGGTAGTTCCTATGTAATTTTTAATTTTTCAAGATGGTTTTATAATACTTGTCACTACTGTACAATAAACACTTCAGCAGGTTGGGTACATGATACTACCACATGTCTGCGCTACAGGTTACACTTTATATTTCTTTCAAACTGTCCTACAATTAGCAGGAACGGCCTTCTGTAACTCGAGAGGTCTATTCCTCCCCACCCCAGGAAAAAAAAAACCTGGTGGCCTTAGTTTTGACGGAGCCCAGCAGGGATCTGCTCTTGGATATTGCTGTTTCATCAGGCACGCACATACAGACTCAGACATCCCATCCCCACTAGCATGTTCCAACTAGCTTGAGACAACACAGGAAAACAAAACCAAAGAATAAATCTCATACACTGATGTGATATTAGAACTTTTTTTTCTTTTATTACAAAACATATTAAGAGAACATTGAACAAGTTACATACAACATCACTTTATCTTTAATGGGCTTTGTGCCCTTTTATCATACTGTCCATGTGGTAGAAATGGCATATAACTTGCAGAATGCTTAGTCTTAGTATTGCACCATTGATGCACAAATTTAGTTGCTAGCCAAAATATTTGACCGCTAACTTGATAATCACATTCCAATACTCATAAAGTACATCTAAATGTACCAGCAAGCCAGAGACATCTTGGAAACTCAAAAACTTCTAACAAACCTGAGGATAAAATGGGTTGATTTTCTCTAACTCTTCGCTGTGACTTCCTAAGTCTGTAATAAAAATGCCAAATTAATATGCTATTAGCTTATTAAATTTATCCTGCTTTTTTTCTGGGAAAGATGTCATATTGGGAGGACCTGAGTGATGGGGGAAAAGACTTTATTCTACATGTAATAAAACTGGATTCCATGGAATGAACCAAAAGGAGGATTTAGCTTTATGAGTGAAAGTTGTCTACTACTTTGAGCTCTGTGACAAAATACTCTCATCTTGTTTTCTGTAGGCTCCCTATGTGGATATAATTTGTGTAAATAGCTACTTCTCCTGGTATCATGACCCAGGCCACCTGGAAGTTATTCCACTACAACTCACAACACAGTTTGAGAACTGGTATAAAACCTATGAAAAACCCATTATCCAGAGTGAATATGGAGCAGATTCAGTTCCTGGACTTCACAGTGTAAGTGTTATAGATGCCCTAGATGGAAAAAAGTACTGTTGTTCTACAGGGTCAGAAAAACTGAATTAGAAGAGATAGGTACCATTGACCCTGACTACTTAGTTTTGAGATGCATCAGCTTGTAAGTGTCTGAAAGATTCCAGGATTGTAATCTTGCTCCACTGAGATCAATGAGCTTTGCCACTGACTAACAAAGGTTAGATTCTACCTAAAGAGAAGTTTTTAGCTTTGAGTAAAAGCACTGAGTACTTTGAAATCTGTACTTTGGCATTTGTAGAAAATGCTTAATCGGATGATACAACACTGGAGACTGGACATTCATTTCATGACGCTATCCTGCACAGAAGGGGATGGCACTCTTATACCTATCGTGATAAAGCACCATTACCAAGCAAAACCATGGACTCCCCCCAAGTATACCTGGTATTATGTTTGTATTTTATGTGCAAAGTTTCCCCTTGCAATTTTAGTAATTGCTAATCTTCATTAAATAGCCATTGTTAATGCAGCGGCAATGAAAAGATCAAGCAATTGTAAAGTTTGTCTTCAGGCAGCAGGTCCCCAGTAAATAGGAAGTTAACATATGGAGCCTTTGCTGAGATTAACTGTCACTTTCATTCAAGGCCACCTCTTTTTCCTGGCTGTAGGACCCACCTCTTATGTTCAGCGAGGAGTATCAGAAAGCTATGCTAAAGGAGTACCATTCTGTTTTTGACAAAAAGAGGAAAGAGTATGTGATTGGGGAGCTCATATGGAATTTTGCTGATTTCATGACTAATCAAGGTAAGCTTGTATTTATATTCTAAACAACTCTCCATCCTCCCTGCAAGTTTAAAATGGTTTACGATACACAAAGAATACTGTGCTGTAGGGTAGGACAAAAGGGCCCTCTGCTTACCAAGACAGAGCATAGCTCTGGTTTCTGTGACGAAGTCCAGCGTGACCAGAGCCAAGAGGGAAGGTCCTGCCTGTCCTTAATGCATCCTCTCGCTCCAGCTTGAGCTCCTAGATGTCCCACCTGCAAATAATACTGATGCTCTGAATTGAGGATGGCCAAGAAATAAAGTAATCTGGGTCTGCTCACAAGCTGAACGTGAGACTATGCACGAGGGCGGAATGCAAGGGAAGCTTGCTCAAGTCGGAGCTTCAGTCAGCTGTTAGGGATGTGTCTCACTTGCTCCATAGTTCATTTACAACTGCCCTTAGTAACAGAGCACCTTAAATAAAGTAGACAACTGTCTATCGTGATACTCCATCCACTATTAATAAGTGATTAAGTGCATTCACGAAGTATGGAGCATTACTTAATCTACAGTGCAGACAGTCACACAGAAATTAAACTATTACAACTCAGAAGGAGACCTAGTAAGGAACCAGTTATGCATATGCCACCTGCAGTGAGTTAGGGTGGTGAACAGTCAGTGTTAATTTTAGGCAGAGAAACACTGTTAAGAATAATCTGTAGAGCACCAATATAGGTCTTGGAAAGCTAAGTCATTGCAGAGAAGCAGTCAGAAAAGTATTATTTCAAATAGAAGGAGAAAATGTAGACAAGTTCACATATACATATGCAGTTCTGGTCTCTCTACGTGTTGCGATCATCTTTTCTAGTTTCCTATGAAAACTAAAATAGGCAAAAAGGATATGGACACCATTAAAGGACAGTACAGTCAAAGTTAGCAATCAACATTTTCACCATCAAATTTCAAGGTGGAATTAAAGGCAGAAGGAACATCTGCTGTAAATATTATACTGATCAAGTTAATGGGCACACCTGAATAAACTGTCATCAACTTAACCAGTTGTAAATACAATTAATTGCAGCTATATTGCTCAGTTACATCAATTAATCTTGCCAAGATGACGCAAATTACATCTGCCAAGTTCCCCATTGTACCTGACTATGTGTAGAAGAAAGTGCATAGGTCTCTTCCACCTAACCTGATTTAGTACATACATCGTTACGGTTCACAGTAGGGGATATAAGAGCATTTTATATATACTTGCTGTATTTTATAACTTCTCTACAGGGACCACACGTGTTTTGGGGAACAAGAAAGGAATATTTACCCGCCAACGACAGCCCAAATCAGCTGCATTTGTTCTTAGAGAAAGATACTGGAAGATTGCAAATGAATCACGCTGTCTTCCTCCCATAACAAAATCACATACTCTCTTTCTAAAATGAAATCAAAAGGTATAGTGGCTGGGTACTATGCTGAACTTGTTCATTAAATTTCTGTCTAAATAATATTTGTGCCTGACTCAAGTCTTGCAAGTCTAATGCTATTTCTAGTCCACCTGAAGTAGTTACTATGATACAAAGCAGATCAGAAACACTAGTTTCCTATGCTTAGTCATGTCTGTAGGCTTCCTGTTTCCAGGTAGCAAAATGAATATTCAGTGTTTCAAAGAGCTGAAGTTAGAGATCCTGACTGAGGTATCTGTTTATGGCAAAAAAATAAAAATATTACATGATACAAATCAATGCTGAAGACTTAAAAGAATCCAAGTTACTCTAAATGAACATCACATCCCTCCAATGCAAATGAGGTTTTCCAGTTATACTCCCCTAACAGTTACACTACTCAGATCACAGCAAATTGTCCAGGATTACTGAAGAGCATGATTTATACAGCTTCTCTTGCTGGACAGAATTTATGTGGCTAGCTGAGAAATTCTGAGAGTTCACAGCATTCAGGAAGTGTATGAACCACCACCTCTGAGAGGATACCCAACATACTCCAATACAGTATAGAATTCATACTACAGCAGCAAGGTGGAATATGTTAGATAGATAGGTACTACATTAACTGAACTTTGTTCAAAACTATTTATTTTAGTCACAGTACCAGAACTGCCGCTATTAGATGCGGTTCTATCTTCCAGCATGGAAGAGCTTCCTTCATATTAAATTGTCACTATGTACTACAGTAATAATAGTCTAGAGGGTAAGTTTGATCTAAACCTTTTTGATACTGGCCTGTAGCATTCTGGCCTAGGGCGATGTGTAAATTAACGTGCACACGCTACTTTAGACAGTAACGTAGTGTAGTAGCGTCCCTTTCAAGGCGCACACCAGTCTTAGAGGACTCTAAAGGCCAGGCTTTAGACTGTAACAGATTGTGCCAATACTCACAGAAGAGCTCAGAACACTTAGTCTGCAAACTTCTTATTGCAACATCCCAGGGCTGTCCCAAAAGCAGCATCGCCCGTAGCAGAACCACAAAATTGGAGGCTGCCTACTGAATTTTGGAAGTTGGCACAATTATGTAGTTTCATTATTCTGATTCGCAGATACTGTGTGAAACTGTTGCTGTGACTACTTTTTCTGCAATGGGCTCTTCTGCTAGTACCTCAAGAAAGTGACCAAAACATCTGCCAATACAAAGAAAATATTTGCTCTTACGTTGTGTGGTGGCCAAATTCTCTTTCGTTTAGATGTGATGCATTAGAAACCAACACCTTCCATGCTGCCACATGCAGAATAAGGACATACTTGTTTACTGCAGACTTCAAAGCAATTTTTCTTGAGTTTTTAAGGGAAAAGAAGAAACATACTATCAACATTCCTTATGGTTATACTGTGTTAGGTTTACAGATTTTCTATACAACTAAAACCGCAGAATATAAAAGTCTATCCATAGTAAAAAGACACTTGCTCAAATGTACCATGGTATAAGACTGAATACCATATTTAAGTCCACTACCAGTGTTTGAAAGTCATTTCAACTTCTCGATCTCTAGACATAATTTTTTTAAACCATTTTCTTCCCCGTTTCAACAGACATGACATACCAACAGCTGCCACATCAAAATACAGATAAAGATTTGACGATGTTAACGCATTACAAACTAGGGCTCAGAGCCCTATGACAACACACAGGGCTTGCGGTTGCAGAAGAGAAAGCTATTACTTTCATTCAGTCCAACAAAACAGACGCAAAGTTTAATATCCACACGTATGATAAGCGCACATTTCAGAGTCTTGGTTCCTGCTTGTTCTTAACAGCTCAGTGCAATTGTAAACCCAACCCGCCTATCCAACCCTTCCCCAAAAGCTCTCTCCCTCCCCCCCAAATCCAGGAAAACATATAGCAGTTTCCAGATACTTTGTGATCTTGTCGGAGTGGAGTTAAAGCAGACGTACAGAACCAAGGAAAGCAGGAAGTGATAAAACCAACATACTTAATGGGGTTTTTTTGCATGTTGCTTAAAGAACTGTAAACAGTTAAAGCCTTAAGTCAATGCTGCTCAACCTTTACACACCCATGTGCACACAACATTCAGCAAGACACAATGAAGCTGCAGAAATTCTATAGACTGGTATCTCTGGGGACCGAAGTGCTTTAACCCTTCTACTGCTAACACACAATGTCTTTGAAAAAAATCACAACTTAGTACATTTCTAGAAACAGAATTACAGTACTGACTTTAAAAACAGTTTCTAAGGCTCAGACTGAGTCCAAAAAGGCCTCTGATTGGGTTCATTCAAGCTCTTATGTTTGGACTGCACGAATGCAGCTTAAGAATGATTGCAGCAAGACGTCCACAGGTAATTTCTACATTTATTTTTTTATACCAAAAAGTTATGTGCAACAAATAGAATTCGTACATATTTACATTGTTTTACCTGTTAACAAAATTGTATCCTAAACCTCCAATAGAGAATTTCTCAACCTATATTGATAAAAGGAACATCTGCCCAATGACTCCATTTAAGTGGATGTTTAATTTGGAGTTTAAAGCACTAGTAATAAATAGTTGATGGAACATACTATACAGAACAAACACCTAATATTTAGGCCATGCTTAATACAGTTTTATGGTAACAGAATACTTCATCTTTTCTGGACCAGTTTTGTCTAGATCACATTTAAACAACATTGGCAGAACCAAAGCTATTGGATGTCTCTTTGACTTTAGCCCATATAAATTAGGAGATTCAAGTGCTGCCTGAAGCACCTCACCAGTCTTCTTGAACAATCGAGAGACTCTGTACAACAGAAGACAAACGTGTACTACAGTATGCAGAAATCTCCTAATAAGAGAGATTTATTGTCACTTTAGATATCAAAGGTGGTAGGGAATGTTTCATTGGCCTTAGTGTTGCAAACACTTCACAGTAAGAAACTTCCAAGAACATTCATTTCCTAAATGAGATTTGAATGCTTCATTGGCCTTAAGAGTAGCAAGTACCTTACAGTAAGAGGATTTCAGGAATGTTTAATTCCTAAGCAGGTTTTGGGATGAGGTTCTTTTGCCTTTCCAATCCACCCCTCCCTGCAGAACTTCTGAGAGCCAAGGAAGGGGAGGAAGAGCCCAAATTCAGAACCACCGTTTGTATATTATGAATTTTTTCCCCTCCCTTCTCATGAGTGTTGAAACCACAACCAGAATCTGTGTAATGATACTGCCCCCCTGTCCCTCTGCCAGACCAGGTACTATTTACTGCCTTTTACCCATACTCTTGTATCCTCAAGATTTTTCAGAATTTGCCTTCGGATTTGTAAGGGTCAAATTAATATCAACCACGCATTTGCCACGACATTTGTTTTGGCTGGGGGCAGGCAGGGGGGTAGTTGCATAAAGCACTCATCCGATTTCCATCACGTTACTAATTGTAACCTGAGCCATTTTACTGGAAGAAATACGCTGTTTCTATCATTAGGAGCAACAAGGAAAGAGTCAAAGAACTGGAAGCAAAAACGTCCAAATTTCTACTGCTAATATTATTTTGCCCTTTATTCAGGCCAACTGCATTTCTGAAGCACAAGAGAGAAAGTAGAAGAGTTAGGGCCATTTCTAGCAAATCACTTCCAGTAAAAAGAAACTGCAAGAAAAGCACACAAGACAAGAAAGTTCACAATTAAGGATCAGATTTGCAAGTTCGTGCACAAAGTGTAGCTGCAAATTCTTCCAGAGACTAAACTCAATTTCCATTTGATCCCTATGTGCACACAAACAAGAACTGCAGACACGACTGCTGAAAATCTGGCCCTAAACAATTTTACTAAACAAACTGAATTAACAGACTATGCCCACACAGACAAGCACAAGACACAGTGAAGTTAGTCAACACCTATACTTTCAGCTGATGGGGGTTTTTTCCTTTTTTTCGGTATGCACTACACCCAGAAGTTGCACCAAGTAATCATTGATTATACTTGTCTCCATTGCTGCTTGTTCTGAGACATTAGCACTGCGACTAACCATTTCAGGCAGCAGGTGTTCACCTCTTCCTTGGATGAAAAAGATGCATTCCTGTGATCTACACTAAGGCATCAAAATAAATCTATACAACATATTAAACAGTAATATTACCTCAAGGCTTGTAAGAGAACAAAGTAAAGCCTTGAGGGAACAGTTTAACATCGTTCACTCCCCTCATATCAAAGTTCAAGGCATTTGAGAAACAGAACTAAACATCAAGACAAGCTTTAACTATACTCTGGTCAATACAAAATGCATTTAATGAATTGTTGTCTAAAACTGTTAGACAAGAGGGACAAGTGATTTAGTGTTACATGCAACAGATGTTACTCATACCACAGAACTCTATACATAAAAGCAGTTTCCACCCACATCCTTGATACAAACCAGAAAATTACTTCAGTAGTACTTTAAATACTATTTTGTGAATTCAATCTAAAAATTCTATTTTCTCTACGGAACACTGCATGTTGCACAGTCAAGTTTATCCTCAGCAACTTAGTGTTTATAATCCACTTTAGCCATACAACGTAAGTGTGTCTCTGACATTCATGTTTAAGAAAAAAATCCTAAAATTAGTTAAACTAATTCTTTAAATAAATGGGTACGCAGTTGGAGTTCTTCATATTTAGAAGGTGACAAGGGCAAAAAGCAGCACAGCACCTATTACAGAAAGTAGCTGAACCTATACATTTTGGTGTCACAGAGTCTGAAACACAAGTATTTTACTCTTCCGAATCACATCATCAACGTTCTATGACATTGATTTAAGTTAACTGAAACAACCTTGCTACCACTTCTCAGTCTAAAAACTAAAATAGATCTTTTAATACTCTTCTATCCCCAGCAAGTTTGCTGGAAATTTTGTTTGTTTGTTTGTTCGTTTGTTCATTTTTAAAGCAAGGACACTTCTGCCTGCCAAGTTCAACACAAAGTATTTGGTTTAAGATTTTAAGACAGAAGGCACTTTTAACATTCAGCCTTAGAATACTGAGTGCAGAAACATGTAAAATTTTGTTCCTTTGTTTAAATCTGCAGTTTAATTTTTTTTCAATTAGTTATTAGAAAGAGCAATGATAGCACTATATCACATTTAATTTTCAGGAGCATATTTACTTACTTATCCCACTAAACAGGTTGCCCTTCCAAGAGATCTTATGTGTCTCAGGCCTAAAGTTCATTTCCCAATATAGCACAAACCAAAGATCCTGAAGAAGATCAATTAAGTAACTGCTTCTTCAGCACACTACTTGGTTATCCCACTCAGTCAGTGCTTTCCACTGCAAATTGCAATTCTATACTGCAGCATTCATATAACATCAAACATTAGTAACACTGGCTGCCTGACCGCAGTTTAAAAATGAAACAGCTCTGCATGGAAATTAAGTCCTTTCCAAGAACACTCTTTGATACACCAACCCCCAATCTGCATATAATATCCCGGTGGCAGCTTTCTATTGACCACATTAAGCTATTTTCTGTACAGAAGTTAATGAAGTTGTGGTTTAATGAACATACTTCAGGTTTCAGGTTTAATTCCATTTTCATTACTGGAGACAAAAAAAAAAAAGATAAAAATGGAACAAAACCCAACCATCATTCTTGTGAAAGCACTAGCAGCGAGTGCAGCAACACGGTGTTCTCTATAGAGGTCACTTCTTCTTCCATCACGTCAGTCGACTATTAGCTGAACACTCTGACAGCTCCTAGGCCTGATTGTACAGTGAGTTCTCCAGGGATGAAAACAATATTTCTAATTTTATTTACAGTATAAGTCCTAGTCAAATCTAAGTCCATCAGCTAAAAAAAAACATAATACACATACTGTAAACATGGCAACATTAAATATGGTAATGCTAGTCTAGAATATTTAATGTCATTACCACATCTTGTTATACCTGAATTTATATACAGGGTATTTTGTAGCAAGTGTTACCCACTTCACAAGTGGAGAGGGAAGAGAGAGAGTCTAGGTTTTGCTGTGGCTAAAACTCCTTCAAAGTAAAGTTAAAGCTTGTCTTTTATTGTATTAGAGCTTTCTTTCATAACCACATTTAAATTGAAGATTAGCACAAAAAAAATTATCTAGGGCCCCTTCAAATTTGTAATTAAAAATTCAGTTATGATACTCGGGGAAAGTGTCTGATATGGAGAATAAAAAATTACTGCAAAATAAACTTAATGGAAGTTGGGTCTTCAGACTGTCAGTCAAAAGTTCAAACAGGCATTATTCCTGTTTGGGTTGGAGTTGCCGTTTCCAGGCCTCGTTCAAATAAACTAGTCGTTTGTAGTTGATGATAAAGAGAATGAAGTTCAGCAAATATGTGATGACGCAGACAATGCAAAATTCCTTCAGCACGAAGTACAGAATGTATGCCAAGTACAATGACCCTACTACAGACACTATGGAGGATGTCATGAGGATTAGAGCTGCTACTGCACTTGCTGTCATACCTGCAACAAGAGAGAGAAAGTTACTACTGCTGCTCTCATTCCCCCCTTCCGAACAAAGCAAAAAGCCTAAGCACTCTAATTCAAACTGAAGGCTACTCAGCAAGTTTGTTTTACATAAAAGTCTGTTTAAAATACCATGAGTTCAAGATGGCTGACAAATCGCTATTTGGAGGGGAGCTTCTAGGTTCTGTACGACAGTCCTTTGATAAGAAGTATGTGTAGTATTTATCATCTTCCGTATTCCTGAGTTATGGGAAAGTTACAGGTTGGTCAAGTTACATCTATCAATATTAACAGCTTTAAAGCAGACCATATAGTTACAAAGAAATATGCATACATTACACTTCATGCACTTTTTTTGCCTGCTATCTCTATTACTCCTGCAAAACTTGTAAATTCCATTTTTATTTCCTCTCTTTTCTATCATGCAATCCAATGCTAAATATATTTAAGTGAAAATACCAGTGCAGTAACTGCCTTGACGCCTATGTTATTAATAGCATAGCAGGAGAAAATGCAATTGCTCTTGTTATCAGTTGGGTTTTTAAGCCCTTTGGACAGATACATCATTAGAAGGGTGCTAAAAAAAAAAAAGATAAAAATCACATGCATTTATCTGGTCTCCTGCAGATTGTGCAATGTATAATGCACTCCTCTTTCACCACCACAGACCTGTTATATACTTTAGGCACTAAACTGAATTAATACTTACCAAGTAGCATTTGTAGTATATAAAACACGAGTCCAAAAACACTGTTTGACTGATTTATTGCACTGTCCTTTCCAAAGATGGAACCCAACAGACCGAATCCTCGACCCCATCTGTAAAACAATGAAACTAATTAACTTGTATTTGGGCACCTATTGCTTTACATCAGTGTTTTCAACTCATCGCTGTTGGGAAAAAAAAAAATAGATACATATATTCTGACATGACCACTGTAGTCCTATAAGAAGTTCAGGGTTATCTCGGAAAACCAAGCAGCTTGCAACAAGGGGGTGCACTAGGTACAACTTTATCCCACACATTGCTGATTAAAGTTACTTGACACACCAGAAACTACCAAGTTCACACAGTTGCAACTTCACCAAATACGACGTCTGCTTCCTAGGGTTGTAGTTTAAAGCTTTTTTGTCAAATAAACACTTCCTTCCTCCAACGATAGCTTTAGCAGTTCTCTCCACCACAATAAGTTGGACACATGCTCACTATACCGCCGAGGGAAAATAGTACAATTTGGTAACTAGTTGTTACCAGCTCTGCCAGCACTTACCTCGCTGGCATCAGAGCAAGCAAATCAGAACATATGTTTGCACTTCGGCTGCTCCTGCGCAGTCTAACATCTTAGGAGGAACCCAAATCTGTCAAGCAGACAAGCTGGGGATGGTACCATAGCAAGATTCACAGGCCTCATTTGTTAGAGCCTTTGCACAGTGTGACATTTTGAACTAGCACCTTAACCACAAAGTGACTTTCAACTTTTTAGTGAAAAGGTAGAAAGCGGTACAAGCCCTACAAAACTGCTGCTGCAATAAGGGGGACAAAAGATTAAATTAGCAAATGTATTTGTGCTAGAAACCATTAATGTGATGCCCTAAGGCAGATCACGCCATTATTTGTAAAAGCAAAGTGAGGACTGTATTTATTAGTGTCACTTGAAAATATGAAGAGAAGTTAACACTACTTCAACATGCAGCTTAATTCACTTACAAGAGAACGTTAGGATATCTGCCAACATGTCTTTGGGGCATCAAGTCAAGCACTACATAAATGTAAGGCTAAGTTCACATTATCAGGTTAACTGTCACATAACTATGTAAAAAAAGCGCAATTTTCACTGCTGTTGCAGCAGAAAACGCTAGCGTGGTACATTTATGCCAACAGAAGTGCAGTTTCCGAATAGCTTGTACTAGAGGCAATGGTTCTACTAAACCAAGACACAGCATAGGTTTGCTCTCTGCACACTATAGGAACGTTGTGATATACTTCACCATACATCCAAGACCAGTGAAAGGCTACCTCCACATTACAAGCAGTTTCCTCACACGAGAAAGGTACATGGTAAGTACAATTTAATACCATCTCCAAAATACTTCATAATCTCACAGCCATTTGTGCAATATTTGCAAAACATATTGAAATGAATCATTTTAATTCAAACTTAGCAACTGTCTGCAATTGACTATCATACCCAAGTCTTGTGCTCTTCTCCCCAAGAAACTGAGCAGAGAATTAGGTACCAATTCCTAGAAAGCATGTCTACTGCATAAACAGTAAAAAAACCAAACATACTTTCAACCGGTTTGGTCTCAAGTCTTGTAAATGACTGAAGTGAAACTTATGTGCAAATATAAAGCTTCAAGCCAGCACAGAAAAACCAACGCTTGCTTTACCACGGGAACAATGCCTCACATCCCAGAGCTGCGAGAGGTTAGAAAGACACAAAGTTAACTGCTTGGGGGAGCAGTGCAATACTGCCTCGCTCCCTGCAGTTATCCCAGTGCAAGTTTGGGGCTACGCAAACATGGGAGACAAGACTGGTTACACATCCTCCCTGCAGCATATGAAGACCAACAGTCCCAATTAGCGTACGGTATAGATCGTGGGCGAAGTAGTATCAAGGATGGATGGCAAAGATCCGGAAAAGCAGCTGTAGAGATGCAAGTGCAGCACTTCGCTGCTAAGGGAGCCACGCTTCCAAGAGGGAAGGATTTTAAAGACGACCAAACACCGTGCAACAATACATAAGCAAACATTATAAAGAAATACTGCAAGTGCCAAAGAATCTCAGCTATGACAAGACTTTCCCCCCACACCTTGAATGTTATCTGGATTTTAAGTGAGAACTGTTTATTTTTTAGCCTTACTTTGATAAGATGGTCACAGCACATGTAACAATTGCCTCATGTTGTCCAGCTACCAAATGCAGTATTAAAGAGCCAGACAAATATATTAAAGGTATCATTATTTTGCATTTAATAATCTATTTTTATTTTTCTGTATTACCACACTTATAGATGTTTCAGCTTACTATCCACAGGTGCAATTTATCGTTCTAGTCTCCAGGTAAGAATTCTTTCAGGGTGACACTAAACTCTATTTGAACACACTCAGGCTTTCCTCACCGAGAGACTAAACAGCATAACTCAAAGCATGCTTAAGTCTGTGGTTCAACATTAGTCTAGCTCAAAGTAACTGCAGGATGCTGAATTCCTACCCTCTCCCTGCCCTAGCTGTATGCTCTCACTTCTTCTGATGCTCATGAGATCCTGTCATGTTTGAGAGCGAACTCAAGCTCATCAGACACTTTAGACTACAGAATCTGACCCTACAGTTATTCTGCAAGTGAATAAAATGTTGCTAATGGAAAGATAATGAGTTCAAGCCCTTCCTGACAGTCAGTGTCCCAAGCGATCTGTTCATAGCTGCAAGAAGGTCAGAGCATGGTGAAAGCTTTTTCCACATGCAATAGTTCATTAAGTATCTTGTTGGCCTTGTAGCAACTTTAAGGACATCAAGTATTATATTTCAGTCCATGGAGTACGCCTCTAATCTCGCATCTTATTCCACACACTTCAAGACAGCTAAGCAGCCTGTGATTTAAGACGAAGCACTTTTTCCAGCCTTATTAGGTTTGAAGCATGAGGAAGTTTTCTGCATCAAACTGAAAAGCAAAATATTTAGACTCTGTATATTTCTATTTCCATCTAATTTCTCTAGTGAAGAGGCTAAATCATCTCCTAATTCTATCAAGGAGGTCCCAAAACCCACTAACCAAGTACTTTTGCAAGCAATTGGAGCAAGGAAGAAGACTGAGTTTGATAATCTTCCTTCTCACACCAAAATCACACCTGAGATATGACAATTTTGAAAGTCTAAAAACATATGGCAAACAAATAGCAAGAAGAAAGATTGCAGTCCGAATGATAGAATAAACTCCAAGAAATAAAACATCAGTGAAAAGGACTATAAACTGTTTAGAAGTTCCTCACGGAACTTGCCTTTCTTATAAAGAATATAATTTACAAGAACTATTGTTAACTCGGATCAATTTTTTGGATACAGAATGCTAAGTAAAATGAACTGCACTAATTAAAGAGTTGCTTGCACAGCAAGATAAAAGCATAGTCCAACACCACCAACTTTCTCCTGGTACTGACTTGTGGCTCCCAATCCCTGAAGCAGTGAAGTGTTGTAAAGATCACGCTGAAGTCACCCTGTGTGATTCAGAGCACTATGACAAACACATGTGGCAAGCCTGGTTTTGCCACACCCGAGTTTCACTCCTATTGAGGGGAAAAAAAAAAAGCAATCTGAACTAACTTCAAGGAAGTTTTAAAATAAATCTCTAAGACATCTTCCTGTATGTTTCAAGTAACTCAAATTCCCTCTCTGTTCAAGGTGACAGCCTGCTTCACTTCTCATTTGCAGGTACAACTTTGAATGTTCTTTAAAAAAGTTTTCAGAATAGTGATTCAAGAAATCCAAGACAAAGTGTTTAGAACTGTTCATGTAGTTTCCTTACGTCTAAAATTAAATACTACAGTGACTTTTAGTCCAATGTGCATTTCTTTTTATCAAAAGGAGGTCTTGAAAATTATTATCCACCCTCTAAACAGTGTCCCTTTTGGTTTGTGATATTTAGCAAAGCTCAGAAGTGTTGCATTTTTAGAAGTTTAAACCAGTATTTGCATGCACTTGACACTTCTTAACAGGAAGACAAGAACAACTGAGGTCATTTTGATCCACAAGTGACATGCCTCCAATAAAATCTAAAAATCATTACCTCTTTTGCACAATTATGAACATCCTCTATGTTCCAGAACAGCATATTATGGGAGTACATTTTAACTCTAAATATTTTGCCGTAATTTAGCAGAGACAATACCACTAGCAGAAAGCCGAGCAAGAGAACCTCTTGCAGTACACTAGGATTTCAGTCATTTTAAAGGACAAGTAAACCACCTCCATGTTTAACAAGTTAAAAGCTGTAAGAGTTATCAGTATTAGCTCAAAAAGCAACAGAATTCCAAGCCTGCCAAACACAACAAGACAAACAAACAAAAAGTATATATTTAGCCAGGAGTCAAATTATTATCTCGTCCACTCTCTGTAAGAAATGCTATACTGTTTTTTCTAGCCAAGCACCCCAATCCTGACAGTTACCTGCAGATGTTTTTAAGGGCTTTTTACAAAAAGATCATTCCCCAAGATGCTCTCCTTGACCTCAATCATCATTAAGTTAAGAATCAGCTTAAGAAACTTCTGAACTGGGGTTTCACCTGCACCAACATGCTCAGAAGCCTACCTTGAAGCCTTCCTGAATGTACCTAGATGCTTTCTGAACACGTACTTTTGACCTCCACAACACGCCCGGTAATGGATTCCAGAATCACATCACCTCATTTCACTTGGCAATTCTTAGTTCTCAGGTCAAGAAAAGACCTAACTACTGTATATTCATTTTGACATGCAAATAACCATACTAGATCAGGTCAAGTCCAGCTAGCTTCAGTACCATGTTTCTGACATCAGCGAGTAGCACACGTCTTGAACAAAGCACAAATATCATACTTCCCAGTTCACTTCATTCTAGTCTCCTGAATGTCTAGTTGAAAATGCTATCAAACCCTTCAGGAGACCAGATTATTAAATGGCATGTATGATTCAAAATCCGAGAACACTCTGCATTTGTGCAGCAGCAGGTTTTCCAACACATTCCTCTCTCTCAATTTTTTAGATTCGCTGCAAAGGAAAGGGCAAACAACAGTAATAAAAAAGATTATATTTTCAGAGAACTGTAAGTAAAGAACTCAAGTTCTGTTTTCTGAGTAGTAGTAGCTTACTTAAAGCCCCTCATTTCAGGATTATTTTTCATCCCATAAGGATTATTTTGTTATCAATGGCAAGCACCATTTACCACTTTGTAACCCTGAGGAAACTACATATTTTCTAAAAAAAGCCTACACTTGACAAGTGATATGCACATTTCCTTAAGTGTCATCTGACTTCTGAGATAAGTTACGGTACAGAATGAAAGTTCTCAGGAGGGGAGTAAAGCTGGCCTATGCTCACACATCACCTTCAGTGAAAAGCTCATATAAAGGTCAAAGGATCTGGAGCATATTAAGACTTAGCAATGTTAAGAAACTTTGGTTGCAGCTTCTTTACAGCTTCACTAGAGGATTTTGGATTAAACCTGGTTCATGATTACACGGTCACTTAGGCCACTCTAACAGTTTTAATAAATTAAGTAAAAGCCTTCAATTAGAAGCCACAAGAAA